TCTATTCTATTCTATTCTATTCTATTCTATTCTATTCTATTCTATTCCCTTTAATAACAAATGCATTTAGTAAAGTAAATCAATGTTTCTCAAGCTTAAGATGTGTAGATATGCATGGCTGGCTGGAGAATTCTGGGAGTTGAAGTCTACGCATCTAAAAGTTGCTAAACTTGAGAAACATTGCTATAAATCTTTGCATATTTTTATTTATTTTATCAGGTCAGTGAAATGTCAAACAGATGTGTATTACACTGTTGGACATATGCATTGACTCCCATATGGCTGTGAATCAAATCCAGTGTGTGTGTGTGTGTGTGTGTGTGTGTGTGTGTGTGTGTGTGCATTTTAAAATGGTGCAGAAAATTATAAGGAAGTAATATCTACCTGAACTTATAGTCACGAAAGGTCATCTGCTGAGCTTTAAGTTTGGAAAGTAACAGTTTCAGAATGATCAGGAAGATGCAGAAATTAACCTTAGAAAACACACATCACAGATCACAGTTGGTTTCTCCAAATACAATAAATCTTTGTTTGTTCATAAAATTATTTCCAACAGGGATTTCCTAAGGGAAGACAACTGCAAGAAACACCCTTCAGACTGTTTTTAATAAGTTTAATGTACTATATGGAGTCTTGGCTTTCAAGTGTTTCCTGTACAATGTTGTTGTTCTGTCCTGCTTGTATTTTGAAAACTCAAAGCTTACCAATAGTAATTGGAGATCAGGGGAGGAAAGGGTTCACTATTACATGAACCAAAAAGAAGGCCAAAATGCCGAGATTTAATTGTCTAAGTGGCGTCTATAGAAGAAAAATATATACAAAATATCCTTGAATTTAAATAATTTTTCCAATGTCATATTGTCACAAAAACAATAAATAAACATGTCTGACTTTTCTTACTAATTTAGAATGATGATCGTAATTATTGGACACAGATTCTTCCTGCTAAGTTGCTATTTGCCAACTCTGGACTCCTCTTAAGGAGTAATTACAGCTTAACATTGATATAAGATATAATATTTTCAAATAACTAGAGTCTTTTGAGCTACATATTTGCTACCTAAAACCTGACAGGAGGACAATAGGAATCCTTCATGTCTTTCTTACCTCAGAAAGGCAACTCTATGGAAATGGAGGGCCTGTATGTGAACTGATGACTTGGTGTTACTTATGATTTGCAAACAAGTTGTTTATAGATGTTGAATTCTAACCCAAGTTTGAAAGCTCTTGCTGTACCTCACTGATTTGAGTATTAATCACAGTGAGGTAGTAAAGAATTTCCCAATCTAGACATCCCAAATGGATTACAAGTCCCCATCATCTTTTTCCTTATCCTATCATTACATCTCCTTGAATTCTGTAAATTATTCAAAGTGCCCCTTTTGTCTTTGCTTATCTACTAACTAAAGTATAGGAAAATAAAAGCAATATTATACTGGATTCTCTGCACGATAAGATAGGAAGCAGTTTTCCAATGATCCTTACAACAATGGAAAATAACATGGGTCCTCGAATGATCCACCAGACTATCATGTTCTCATTTGTTGACCAGCATCTAGAAAATAAATAAATGTTTATTATGTCATGTAATAACAATTGATAAACCACGTTTGTTATTATTCTTAAAAAACCTCTATAATTCATCTTGGTGAATTATAGAATTGTATCAAAACTCATTTGAAAAGTTTTAAAAGCTTCAAGGAAGATCAGCAGAATTGCTGTTATATGCAGGATGTCTCACCTCTGCCCCCCAAGTTTTGTTCTCTGGGGAAATTATCCATTGTATAGATAATACACTTTTTACCCAATGGCACCACAATTTTAAAAGAAACTTAGCACTCCAGCTTTCCTCTTGAGATTCCTTCAGAACTTCTGAAATTGAACTCATTTATTCATTGTAGAGCAGAGGTGTCAAACTTGCGGCCTGCAGGCCAGATGCATCATGGGCTGATCATGTCCACCCCCATTTTAGCAAAGGGGGAAAAAGTCATGATACATCACATGATGATGTCATGTCATGAGTTTGACACTGTGTTGTAGAGGGATGGACCTAGAATCACTTAAGTTAGAAATTATTCTGAATCTCTGACACCTGATTCAGAATGTGATAGCCATCCATCACTCTTCTGGTGGAAAGAAATATAGTGTTATGGACCAGAGGATCAATAGCAAGAAGAGGAGGAGTCAGGAGTCCTTCAAAATATTCAAAACACAGCAATGGACTGATCTCCATTTCATGAGAATTGTTTGGGGCATAGTATACAAAGTGCCATCTAGATTTTTATACCACTAGACTTCACAAGGATGATAATTTAAAAAAGGTAGATCCTTGGCACACTTTAGAGTCAAAACTTGTTCTCAGTTCTGCAACACTTTAGAAATTAAAACTAAACTTGATATGGATCTACAGGGATTTTGGAAGGAAGAATTGGATCAACACTAACCTTTCTTGGTTTCTAACAAATAATCCACTGGAAGTTTTCAAGAAGAGATTGGACAATCATTTGTATGAAATGGTATAAGGTTTCCTACCTGAGCAAGGGGTTGGACTAGAAGACCTCCAAGTCCAACCTCCTGTCCAACTCAGTCATTCCATTATTATGTAAATCCAAATTCTCCCCTCCCTTTTTTAGCCTTTAAAAAAAATATCTCTCTGATTGTCTTCACTGTAGCAGACTATAACACAATTTCTTATTTATAATGAGATTGCCAAGGGAGGATTGAATGAAGAATAATAATGTTTTTTTAAAAAGCCTTTCTCCTATTGGATATTTCTAAACTTTAAGATCCCATGAATGCCTACTTAGAAATAAGATAAATGCAATGGAGTCTACTTCCAGATTAGAACAGTGCAGAATTACAACCTTAACTTCTTAGATAAGGACACAAGCAGACAATCTTCTTTCTCTGAATGATACTGAATTGCAATTCCCCACATTTTTCACTATCACCCATATTTCTATGGAATGTTGGGAGTTGTTCACAATATTTGGAGTGCCAAACATTGCCTATCCTGGGAATCCAGAGTGGTTTAACATTAAGAATGAAGAGCCTAATTATTCTGAATCTCTGACACCTGATTCAGAATGTGATAGCCACCCATCACTCTTCTGGTGGAAATATAGTGTTATGGACCAGAGGATCAATAGCAAGAAGAGGAGGAGTCAGGAGTCCTTCAAAATATTCAAAACATTCTTCCCTTCCTTTAAAACACTCAGAAGAGTATATATATTGAGCTCCCAGTACTGTTCCATTGAAATCAGGCCCACTCAATGTCTACAAGCATCCTTACCATTCACAAGAATTATCCTATCACATTTGGTGTTCTGAGCCCAATTCTAAGTATGGCCAAAGCCCAGCTAGACATGCATTGACTCTATTTTCAATGTCTTGCCATTTGTTTAGGACTATTCACAACCTAAGATACCTTTGTGGCAGTGCTGTATACATCTTTGCTTTCTTATTTCTGTTTTAACATGTTGAAAGTTTCTGTCCCTTTTTGCCGTTTCTTCTTTTCTGTCCTTTGTTCTGCTCCTCTTTCAATCTGGAGTAGGCCATAGAAGTGATTTTTGCTGCATTCTAACCTTTCTAGTTAGCATACTTTTAAAAGTTAAAATTATGCCTTTAATCACAATTTTGCCTTTAATCATGTGTTTAGGAGGCTACACATTTTTTTTCTTATTGCCTAGCAATGTAGCCACCATAACAAATGGTTGATCATCTTTAGTCTAAACATTGTGGGAAAATAAACAAAAGGCTCTTTTTTCTATTGGCACAAAAAAGGCAAGAAAAGAAACAATGAAACCAATTAAGGGAACATTTAAGACAGTAACTTACACGTTATGATCCAATTGGTATTTTAATATTCCCCAAGGAGCTACAAACAAAACTGGAAAACCTGAAAGGAAAAAATATAAAGTGGATATTCTTGTATGACAAGGCCTAATATAATTTCTGAGAATATCAAGTCTTTTGAGTTAAAAGCAGTTCTAGTTTGACTGATTTACTATTGTCCTCTTCTATTTTTTCCCCAACATTACAGTCTAATATATTATTAAATCAATATAACAAGGATAGCTGATATATAGGGATTATCACTAGTTATGTAAATAAAGGAAAGGCTAATGTCCTCAATAATTTTGTTTTTCTTAGAGTTTGTTCCTTGTAAAAAGAAAAAAACCTTTTTCCCACTCAACAAATATGTTCATAGATATTTGTTTTCTGATTTGTGGGTACTTTGAAAGTCTCCAAGCAAATAATGGCAGCAGTAAACTTCAAGAACTGCATTTATCTAATAATTTGATGTAAAAACCAAGAGCAAATTTAGCTTTCTCTGCTGACTGAAGTATTTTCAACAGGACAATAAACAGGTACTAAACGAAAGGTTAGTTTTGACTCATGCCAGCCGAACCAATCATGAAACTGACTGAGGTAAACCTTGTTGTTGTTGTTGTTGCTAGTTGCAAAGTCATGTCCAACCCATCGTGACCCCATGGACAATGTTCCTATTAGTCTATAAATCAAGTCCTTCTCCTTGGAAAAGTCCAAACTTACCCCATCCAATGAAGATGTATCTCAACAGCTGATGTTTCTCAAACAGCACAGTAGCTACTAATAGCCTGTAGAGGTAAATTCCTTCCACTAAAAGCCAGTAAGAATTTGCTCCAACAACATAATGCATGAAAAGAGGACCCATTTTGCATAAGGCTAGTTTCTGCAAAAATGAAACAAAAAAGAAGAATAACACTGTGCAGAATCCCAGTAGGGATTAACTTATTTTGCCCTTGAGTTTATTGGCTGCAAGAATACATGCTACTTGTCTGGAAACAATAGGACAGATGTTACATTTCAAATCCAAGGGGTAAAGTTTTGCTAATATTAAGCAGGTCTGTTGAAAACTCATTCAGAAGTTTCATGTTTGAATTTTGTTCCTCTTTCTTTCTTTTAAACTGCCTCATTTTGGGACATCATGCTTTAATTTATTGTGTTGTGTTGCCTCAGTGATTAGAATGCTGTATTGCAGGCTAATTCTGCCGACTGCCAGCACTTTGATTCTCACCAGGCTCAGGGTTGACTCAGTCTTCCCTCCTTCTGAGGTCAGTAAAATGAAAACCCAGATTGTTGGGGGCAATATGCTGACTCTGTAAACCATTTACAGAGGGCTATAAAGCATTATAAAGCAGTATATAAATCTAAGTGCTATTGCTATTGCTATTTTTTTCTGAGGGTTCACAAAATAGTAGTCTATAAACAACATATACAGACAAAAGATATTTTAATCTGCTTCCTGATCTTGTACATCAATTATTGTTGCTTAAAATTAGCCACTAGTTCTCAGGCGGTAAACACTGGATCAGTATCATATAAATGCTATGAATGAATGTAGCTAGAAAATATAACCCTGCAACTTTTATTGCTTCTGAGTTTAAAACTATACGTGGGGAACAACAGACATCATTCTTGCTGCTTCGGTCACTTAATATGAACACTGCCTGCTGCAATACCTCTGGACTCAAGGAAGAGATCCATCCACTTTCATCAGCCGGCATTTCCGATTCTGAAGAAATAAACTTGTAAGTACTGCGTGTTATGCTGTCTTTTATCAGAACTCCTGCAGCTCGGAGGATAAATGAAGCAAAGAGATTCATATGGATGTAGTTTCTCGTGCAATGGAGTTTCCTGAAGGGGAAGAAAAGCATAATTGAGTAAAGTTGTATTCGATGTATTGTACATAGTGTTTTTCTTTTTTAATCTTTAATAAAGTTTTCTTTTTAAAAAAGAAACGAAAAGCATAATGTAAGAATAAGAATATGCCAAAGTTAGTTATAGTTTTATCAGAAGAGCAATGTGTTATTTTCCTGATGTGACTGGGAATCTATACTCTTCTTTGGGGATGAGGGTGGCCTGATCATGAAGGGTTTCACTGGACTGTTTGCTTAGCACTTAGACTTATGAGCCATGGTGGTGCAGTGGTTATAGTGCAGTACTCCAGGCTACTTCTGCTGACTCCCGACTGCCTACAATTTGGCAGTTTGAATCTCACCAGGCTCATGGTTGACTCAACATTCCATCCTTCCGAGGTGGGTTAGAGAGGGCTGTAAAGCACTGTAAAGCGGTATACAAGTCTAAGTGCTATTGCTATATACTGTTTCACAGTGCTTTGCAGCCCTCTCTAAGCAGTTTGCAGAATCAATATATTGCCCCCAACAATCTGGGTCCTCATTTTACCCACCTTGGAAGGATGAGCAGGTGAGACTCAAACTGTCAAACTGCTGGCAGTTGACAATCAGTAGAAGTAGCTTGCAGTACTGCATTCTAACCACTGCACTATCACAGCTCTTAGGTGGACTTAAGTTGACTCTTAGCTTAGTTAGGTGCAGGGGTGGGATTCTACAGGTTCGCAACTATTCGCTAGAACCAGTTGTTAACATTCTAAACAGTTCAAAGAACCCGTTGTTAGAAGAAATTACTGGCCTAATCCTGTAAGGAAGGCAGGAAAGAAACATTCTGGTGTTGCATACAGAAACTGCCTCTCTGTTAACTCTTATTACATTCTTGGCAGGACTAGACTACCTGTCTCAGGAACTTCTCTGGAGTTTTTTTCCCCTCCTTTGCTGGTACTTTGCTTGTGTGGAGTGACCATTCAAAATGACAATGGCACTGAAAAAAGCAACTTATGACCATTTTTCACACTTACGACTGTTGGAGCATCCCCACAGTCATGAGAGGCCAGGCGAGGAGAAGCGTGCCTCAATGTGAGTGATGTTGAGTTGGTCACGCCCAGACAGTCACATGACCACCAAGCCACACCCACCAACTAAGCCACGCCCACAGAACTGGTAGTTAAAAAATTTGAATCCCGTCCTTGGTTAGTTGTATGGAAGGTGAAACTGTATAAGATGCCACAGCTAGATTGTATCAAATCTTTCAACTTTCAATTTCCAAACATTAGGAATGCTCAAAAGTTGTGACATGCCTTGGAGATTGCAAAGATATTCTAATTACTTTAATATAATTTAATGTGCTTGATAAATAACTACATACACACCATAACTTTTTAACATTTCTTTTGTTTCAGATGTCTTTGCTGAAAAAGCAAATTCATGGCATTTGACATATTCTGCATATTTGTACCAGGGATTTAGATTAGGAGCTTTTATTCCCTTGATGGCAATAGCATTTAGACTTATACACAGCTTTATTGTGCTTTACAGCCTCTCTAAGAGGTTTACAGAGTCAGCATATTGCCCCCAACAATCTGGGTTCCCATTTTACCCACCTCAGAAGGATGGAAGACTGAGTCAACCTTGAGCCTGGTGAGATTCGATCTGCCAAATTGCAGGCAGCTGGCAGTCATCAGAAGTAGCCTGCAGTACTGCACTCTAACCATTGCACCACCGAGGCTCCTAATGTTATGTCCTCCTCTCAACATAATCAGTTTTTCCCAGTTGTTGCACAAATTCACTTTTGTTCAAAGGTTCCATTTCAAAGAATCCCATAAGGCACCATTCCCTCCATAAGGTGATCAAATGGTGACAGGATTTACAGGTAGTCCTGGACTTACAACAGTTCATTTAGTGACCATTTGAAGTTACAACCATGCTGAAAAAAAGACTTATTAATTCTCTCACACTTATGATCATTGCAGCATCCCCATGGGTCACATGATCAAAATTCAGATGCTTGGCAACGGACTCATATTTATGATGTTTGCGGTGTCCAGGAGTCATGTGATCATTTTCTGACAAGCAAAGTCAATGGGGAAAGCAGATTCACTTAACTACGATGTTACTAATTTAATAATTGCAGTGATTTACTTAACAAACATGGCAGGAAAAGTCATAAAATGGGCCAAAACCCACTCTACAAATTTCTCACTTAGCAACATAAATTTTGGGCTCAATTGCAGTCATAAGTCAAGGACTACCAGGACTACCAGGACTTCATAATCCTGTTCCTGCCTGTTCAAACTTTCTTCCATTGTGTCCTTCTCTTGTATGCTCCCAGTACAGCAGCAATTGTGAGAGTTCAGGCATTTTAAAGGGGGGTGGGGGGGAATGAAATCATCATTTCAAAAAGCTCAGACGTTTAGCTTTACTTGAGAACTCCTATCATAATATAATCACATTAATGTTCCTGTGTTTGACAAGTGAAAGCTCTTATTTGAAACATAACCAGATTCCAGAGGTCAATTAAGACAAATTAATGTACTGTATTGTGGAAGAATCCTAATAGAGGAATGGTTCAGGTATAATTTGCTAGACAGTGAGTGACTTCATTGTGCCTCTCCTTCCCCTCCCGAGGACCTGCGTTGTCTTATGCATAGTAAGAATAATTATTGATTTAAAACAAAAGAATTATTATTTGCAAGACGTTCCTGCCACTGTTTATGTACTGGAAAATGTTCTTCTAGTCTGAACAGAGCAAATGCAAAGATAGCTGTTTAGCTGAGAGTGTAATAATGTTGATGATTGCAATCAAAATGTCAACGTTGCAGTATTTTAAAATTCTAATTCTTTTTTTTTTTTTAAGAAATGCATGCAGATATATAAAACTGAGCAGGACTGAGCAAAACCAGAGCAACAAGTGTTGCAGTTGGAATCAAAGTCAACAGTACTCACCAGCGACCATTCATCACTCCAAAAGTCTACAAGAGTTCAGTAACATTAAACATTAAATTTGTTCCTTGGTTCTGGATCTTTTCACTTTAAGGTTAGCCCAATTCAGAGCAAAAAGTGATACAATGAAATTGAAGCTTGATCTAGTACTAAAAGGTAATAGAATACTAAATACTAAAAAATAAGGAGATTTTAGATTTTTATGAAAGGATATGAAAATATCCTTACATAAAATTCATAAAATCCAACTATGGGAGTGCTCATTTGTACATTTTAATCTGAGAATATTTTTTCCGTATCTGTGACTCATTTACAATAAATAGCTGTGGTTTTTATAATACATGTCACCAAAAAGGAAATTGTGTAAAAGAGAACAAAACTCAGAAATTATGCAGTAATCTGGCACGAAGGAGTTATGTTGACTAGAAATGATCCACAAGGAATTGGCATATTTTGAAAAGCATTAGTGAAACAGTTACAACAAAATGTGCTTAAATTGTAGATAGTATATAAAAAAGGCCTGATGTTTGTCATATTTCTGCATCTTTGAAGAATTCTCCTTATTTGTCTGCTATCTAACCAAGGATCATAAACAAATCATTACAAGACAGCCCGCTTCCTTCCAAATACTTGGCTCTTCAAACGAAATGATTGCTGTACTCTTCATGAATTATATCGGCATGTTTATATAATAAACTTTGGAATAACTAAAACACTAAAATGATGAAAAACAACAACAACAGCCCTCACGCCATACTGAAGAACAGAGCAAAGTACAAAGTACAATGTTACAAATAAGCGTTGGAGAAAGGTTGAAGACTCAATTCCATGGCATATTTTTATTAAGCCATACCTGTATAAAACTGCCTCGTATTTTCATATAAGAACCAGTTTGGCATAATGATTAAAGGCCCCAGGCTAGAAACATGGAAACTGGGAGTTTTAGTCCTGTCTTAGGCATGAGGCGAGCTGCATGATCTTGGACCAGTTTCTTTCTCCCAGATCCAGGAAAAAGGCAAAAGCAAACTACTTCTGAAATTATTGCAAAGAAAACTGCAGGGACTTTTTTTTTAGGTAGCAGCAGGAGTCAAGATTGGCTCAAAGTTATCAAAACAAACCAATCCCTGGATAAAACTATTAAGATTTCTTTTTCATTTTTCCTGTTCTTTCTGTTCTGATTCTCCAGACTATACACTTCATTACATTAAGTGGCCTCTCGTTAAAGTCTTTGCTACAACTTTATCTTGTATCAGCTTATTAAAGTTACTCATGTATCATATGCCTATTATTACTTGGTTCATTACTGATATAATGTAGGATACTTCAAACACAACATGAATCTCGAGGCTTTGATGGCTTTGTGAAATGTACTCAACACATCATTGTAATATTTAACACAGTCAAAGTTCTTTTTTTTTTTAAAAAAAAAAGAATAATGTTCTTGCCATCAAGTAAGCATATTAAATCTTTTAGGCAAATTTCTGCTGGTTATTCTACTTTCTCAAGCTCAGTACTTGATGTATTTCATCGCTTTTATGTGTGAACATAAAATCATACAATGCAAATTGCAATGGAATTGAACCAAGTACATGAGTTTCAGGATGTTTTTCAGGATCAGTTATAATTCTGTTCATCAAAATGATTTGAAAGAGTTTGGATTCTCTCCGCTCCCTTCCTCTCATTACAATCTGTACTTTCCTATTCTTGGTAACAAAATTTTAATTGTAATTTAGGAATCCCATTGTTCCATTTACCAATGGATTTTACTAACAACCTTCACTCTTGAAGTGAAGAGGTTGTTTGCTTGTATTTAAAGTATCTGTGAGGATAGCTGGTAACCAGAGGTGGTATTCAGCAGGTTCTGACCAGTTCTGGAAAATCAGTAGTGGAAATTTTGAGTAGTTTGGAGAACTGGCAAATACCACCCTTGACTGGCCCCACCCTCATCTACTCTCTGCCTCCAAGTCCCAGCTGATCATCTGGATCTTTTTTTGTTGCCCTGCACAGGAGAACGGAGCTGGAAAGTAGGTTAGTGGGGTGGGGAGAGAATGGGGATTTTACAGTAACCTTCCCCCTGGAGTGGGTGGGAATGGAGATTTTGCAGTATCCTTTCCCTGCCATGCCCAACAAGCCACGCCCACCAAGCCACACCCACTAAACCTGTAGTAAAAAATTTTGAATCCCACCACTGCTGGTAACTAAGCTGAGCTGCATAAGATTATTCCATTCTAGGTCATTGAACTTGAGAATTTGTCTGGCTGGCTTGGTAGTAAATATTTGTTTATAGCAATAGCACTTAGAACTTATATGTCATCCCATAGAGCTTACCACACTCTCTGGGTGGTTTACAGAGTCAGCATATTGCCCCCAACAATCTGGGTCTTCATTTTGCCAATGTTGGAAGGATGGAAGGCTGAGTCAGCCTTGAGCCCTCACAGGATCGAACTCAGGCTCTGAGCAGAGTTAGTCTGCAATACTGCATTCTAACCACTGCACCACGAGGGCTCCTTAATAAATAAATATCCGAATGTAGTGATTCCTCAGCAATTCCTTTAATTTCAGTGTTGATTCTCAATGGCTGACATTTGCAAACTAGTCACAACTGTCACAGACTTATTTGAGGAAGGATGATTTAATTTGGATGCAAATACTTTTGGCCAAAAAATTTGGGTGATAAGGTAAATATATTGGAATAAGATATATTTTAAATATTTGATATGTTATTGAGTGTCATCAAAAACAATTATTTTAGTAAGGCATGAGATATGAAAAACATTTTTTTTCATTGTTTGAGTAATGTTTATAATTTTGTAATTCATTCCCTCATCTATTTTTCCTTTGTTAATATCTAATTTGGCCATTGTAGAAAGACATTTTTTTACTTCTTTGTATATTTAATAGTCTGTGATCAAGGGAAATCCTTTGGGAAGGTCTGACATCATTTTCTCTGTTCTAACATATGTGGTGATGTATAAATCAAATAAATAAAATATTCTAATGAATAGTTAAAACAGACCATATTCTACTGAAAAAGAAAATGGTTATACTGACCTAAATAACAGCAGAATGATGAATGCTAAGACAAGGGAAACAAGAGAAATAGAATATCCCACAGTAGAAAGTTTTTCAAGTACCATAAACAATGCAAGGTCTTCTGGCTGGAAACAAAAAGAAACAACATAGTTAATGTAGTCAAGTTTTCCTGGAGGAAATAAATTAACAAATATCAGATATATGTGAGTTCCCAAAACATCTACTACTATGTTGATACATACAGTTGACAGCACATTTTTAGGCATCCCTGGTCTACATGAGTGAGTACCATCGCTCAATACCTTGGTCATCATCCATCCATCCATCCATTTATCAAAATTCTTAACTACCCATCTCCCTCGAAGAGGGAATACAGTAATTCAAACGACTGTAATTCACTCTCCATGGCCCTTTCCTTGAAGATCACTCTGAAATTTCAGCTGCAATACCTCTGGTTTATTACCCTTATTGTAAATCACTTTGAGTCAATTTTCATTTCATTCTCTATCCCTCTATCTTTTTTAATTCTTGGGCTTTTCTCCTAACAGATTTTCTTTTTTTAAAAAAAGAAGACAATCAGAGGTATCATATTAAAAAACAAATCTGATTGCCTAATGTTACAAACAAGGAGGTAACCACCCACTTCCTGCCATATTTAGAGAAACACTTAGCAGTCAGTACTTGAAACAGAATGCTATATTTGATTATTGCTTCTCCAATGACAGATCCTTACGTGCTCCAAAGTGCCAGGACACAGGAAACTCAAAAACAGGAGCTAATAGCAGTCAATTAATCTTTATGATGGTGAAAACCATTATAAACATAAGTTAAAACCACCCAAGTATAACCCCAAAAATATAATAACATTTTAATATTTTAATGCATGGTGAGCTTCTATTAAAACAAAACTGGATATGATGCAGTTTATGGCTAGGAGACAAAGCCTAGCAATTAAAAGTGTGATTTCAGAACTCTGTCATTTAAAAAAACTTCAGGGTGGCTAGGCATTCTTTCCATTCAAGGACAAATTAATTGAAAATGCAGTTGCACATATAATTCATGCTTTACAATAACACGTTCTAGAATTTCAGGTTCACCAGAGGAACAAGGACATTGTTTAAGCACTAGAGGGATTCTATTATATCTGCCATTCATAACTGCAGTGGAGAAGGCATTAAAATGTGCTGCGCAATGGATGTCGGTAAGAATTATGGTATTGCTAACAAAAGCAAAATTCTTCATCATAAAAAGGCATACTCTCTCTCTCTCTCTCTCTCTCTCCTCCCTCCCTCCCTCTGTCTTTCTTTCTGTATCTGTATAAGACAGATTTGTTTATTTTGTTTTATTAGTCAAGCCTCCATTCTATATTGACTTCCCCTCTTCTTTATATAGGACCATTGTGGAAAATAGATCATATGTGCTATTTAAATACTGTGCACGTTCCTGAATGTTTCTATATTTTGTACCTGGGAGCCATAACATTGTTAAAACTATACTTTTGAACTCATCTTATAAAATATCATTACAAGTTAGGTTTCTTTGGGGTACAGAAACCCAGTATGCAAATTCTCAAAGGAGACTGTATAGTCAATAAGGAAATTAAATCAAACGTAGAATCTTGCTGATGGCTTGTCTCTCAGATTAGTTTGATGTGCTTCTTTTGAATAAACTCTGTAGTCTGGAATCCCAAAGGAGAGAGGGAGAGGGACTCCCTTAAGCCTTCAGTCTAAATCATGCTAACCCTCTTTGCTAAAACAAATGCTACCCATTTTCATGCAAGGTAAGTTGCATCATAGGTGAGCTGTAATCACTGTACCAAATAAGACAGAACATAGAATAATAGAGTTGGAAGGGACCTCAAAGGTCTTTTAGTCCAGCCCACTGCTCAAGCAGGAGACCCTACATTGTTTCAGACAAATAATTGTTCGGTCTCTTTTTGAAAGCCTTCAATGATGGAGCAAGCTATTCCAATTGCTCTCACGGTTAGGAATTCTCTTCTTAGTTCTAGATTAATTCTCTCCTTGGTTTCTTTTCAACCATTATTTCTTGCCTTGCCTTTTGGTGCTTTGGAAAATAGTTTGACACCCCCACTCCTCATTTTGGTAAGAGCTCCTCAAATATTGGAACAGTGCTTTCATATCCCCCCCCACCCAGTCCTTCTTTTCATTCATCCCCAATTCCTGCAACCGTTCTTTGTATATTTTAGCCTCCAACCCCTTAATCATTTTTGTTGCTCTTCTCTGCAGAGAAGAATTTCAACGGGTTTTTTTTTGGTATTGTATTGTGACCAAAAAGGGATGCAATATTCCAAGGGTGGTTTTACTAAGACCTTGTAAAGCAATACTAGAACTTTGTTTGATCTGGACTCTATCCCTTTATTAATGCAGCCTAGAATTGCTTTGGCTTTTTTGGTTGCTGCCACACATTGTTGGCTCAAATTTAAATAACTGTCCACTAGGATTCCAAAATCCCCCCTCACAGTTACTGGCATTAAGCCAAGTTTCACCTAGTCTATATTCATTAGGCCAAAAGTAGATACCCAGTAGGGCAAAAGAGGATTTCCAGAGAAGCTTAAATAGCGAACGTGTCTCCCATAAAAAGATGAGCCTACTCACTTTTACTTTGAAATCATTCTCCTCAAGGCATTCTGAGCGGTTATTCCAAACCTCTGTTGTATTTTCGATGTTTTGCCAAATCCCTTGATCCAAGCAGACTCTGTATACGTTTCTTGCACTTCCTAAAAGTAAACAGACACAGGCTCAAAGGTCAAGCCATGCATTTCATTTTTCAGCCCTGGTTTATTGCTGTCACCCTTTCACCCCATGCTGGAAAGACCAAAAAAAAAGGAGACTTGGCTTACTGTAGGGCAGCTCTTTGTAATGCCTGTTTATTTGGGAGGTAACTGTAGAAAGCTTAATATTTCTCAGTGGATTAACACTGCCAAATCTGCACATTTCCCTATTTTTAAATATTTTTAAAAGCCTAAACGCTTGGGATAAGATGGTATTTCTTCAAATAGCTTTTAATATCTTTGTCATGCTTTAAATGAATTGCACTTGAGATTAGAAAGCATTGATTAATTCAACATAATTGGGGTCTTTTTCTATGGAAATAGATTTCTGGTCAAAAGGATCTCTCCATCTCTTCTGTCTTTTGATGTAATATCCATGGGTAATTTAAGGCATCCATCCTTCCTTCAAATGTATCTCTTTCCTAAGCACAGCTGATCATGAACAGTTCTCACCAAAAACAATTATATTTGAAGACATATGAACACTTTTTTCTGTTTCCCATGATTTTTAGATTGTTTTATATTGTTTCCATCAGTTGATGTCACAATCATTTTGATGATCATGCTTGCATGAGCACAGCCAACTGTTCATTCATTTAATCAACAGAAGTCTTCCTAGTTCTCCTACTTATGTTCCCTTTGACTAGAAATAAAAATGTGAATGTATTGATCTTGTATTCTGCTTCTGGGTGATGGTGGAATGTCTTCCCATTTGGTTATATTAAGCATTAGCTAAGATCCTAAGAAAATCACTCCAGATTTCCCATGTTAAGCACACAGAAATACTGGTTTTGCCTAAAGAGAACTTTGCATTGGCATAGATGTGAAAATATAACTTTAGAATGCCATTCCATACTTAGCATCTGCTAAGAAATGACACAATTACTCCTATTACAACAGTTATAGGTTCGTTACTTCCAAAGACTGCTGAACTCCACCCAATTTTGCTAGCAAGCCTAGTGGTAAAAGATGATGGGACCTGTAGTTCAGGACATCTGGAAAGTCAGGCGTGCCCCATCCCAAATCTATAGCCTTAGATGTTCAATTTTAGGGACTCTTGCAAATGTAGAAAGATAATCAAGTTCCAGATCTTAATACCACTGTTTTTATACTTGTTGTAGTCTCTACTGATGATAACAGAAGCAGGCTGTAATTTACTTATTTTTCCCAAAGTGACCAGAAACTATTAGTACAGAAGAATTTCATTTTAGGTCATGGTGTACCCAATATAAAACTCCAAAAGGGAAGGAAACTTATATAATGTATTACAATTTAGCAGGTTTCCAAGTTTGCATTACCATTTTTAAGCCACGGTAAATAAGATGGACAAGCAACAGAGACATTTCCTGGTGGCGAATGAGGCCAGCAAGCAAACTGATCAAAACTTCCATTACAATATATTCCTGTGAAGGAGAGAATATTTTTGAAAGTTAACTAAATGTTACAAGAAATCGATCACCAAGGAACGCAATATCTCTAAACTAAGCTCTACAGCAATTACGTTAGGAATATGTAACTATTTGTTACTTAGTGTGTACATAAAATTACTATTTGTAACCAAGCTACCTTTCTGTAAACAGGTTTAAATGCTGACCATAAATATATTAAGTGCACCTAGTTGCCAATTTATTTTTCTTTCATAAACCAAACAGATATTGTTGAGACCAAGCCAATTTTAAATGAAGCTGCCTCACTTTTTATTTCTTTATCACAAACTTATTCTGTTACTGTTTTTAATACTAACATTATACCATATTGCAAACCAACGTGGTTGGCTAACATTCCAGGTAGATAGAAATGGTAATTTTGTTTAGGACACTCAGCTTATTAAACTAACAATATCAAGACCAGGGGTGGGATTCTACCGGTTCTGTCCACTTCTGTAGATCCAGTTGCTCTGAAAATCAGCAAAAAGAGAGCATACATAGAACCAGTTCTATGTTTGCTGCTGTTTTGGCCCACCTGCCCACCCCGGCTCTTAGCTGACCTTTATTTCCTGCATTTTCAACCACAGCTGCTTTGTGCAACACAGCTGTGGTAGAAAAAGCAGGAAAAAAGTGCTTTTCCAACTGCTGCACACCCACACGCAGCGCTGCTCAGCTGTCCAGTCAGCTAGCTGATGATGAAATACATGTGGGCAGAGCAAAACATAAAATCACGGAACCAGTAGTTACACTGGTTGGATCCCACCCCTGATCAAGACCAATCAAAATAAATATAAACTGTCAGATTGTAACCATGATAAATAAATTTAAAAGCCATGGGAGTGTAAAAATAAAATAAATTTCCAGGGTGCCCTCCCCCCTTGCTTTTCTTCTCTTTGTCTTTTCTTTATCTTTTTTTGACTTTATATACATCTTAAATGTCACATTTTAAAAAATCCTCTTTTTATGTATGCATTTCTTGCTTTGTTTTTTATTCTGAGAATTTCTTTGGCTGCATACTAAAAGCAAGTACAATATGGTAAACCAGAGGAAGTAATTCATATTGATCTCAAGAGGCCAGAAGCTTAGTCAGAAAGTTTAAACATGAGCAACAACCAGAATTTAGATAAGCAGACAAATAATAATTTTATCATGTAGGCCAGGTCACAACTTTGTGTTACGTGTCAGTAAGATATAAAGATGTGTGAAAGGAAATGAAGAGAGAAATCAGTAATGGCTGAAAACATAAAAGCAACAACAGCTCTCTTTTTTTCACTCCTACCAACCAGATAGATAAATTTTCTCCATGACTATTTATCCTTAATTTTGGTCTTTCAGGTTTTCCAAAGTTGCACTCATAGCCACTGTAATTAAATCCATCTACATTGCTGCCAGTCATCCTCGTCCTCTCTTTCCCAGTTTCCCATTAGATTTTTTCCAGATAGCTGGCTTTTCTAAGTAAATAGGCTGGCTTATTTTTCCCATTTTATTAGGGAAAAAACCCCCAGTCTATTTATTGTCTAGCAGTTCTTTTTAAATTCAGTATTATGTTGTATAAAATACATAGCCTCTAATAAAAGCTTTACTTGCACCCAAGCCATTCTTAAAACAATGCCTTCATTTAAAATTAGTTTCAAAAATATTTTTTATTTTCTTTTTACAGTTCTTCACTATTGCTCCTTTTTATAATAACATTTCACTTAACCTCCATCTAAAATAACAGAATATGTTCTAGATTTGTGAGAACTAGAAATATCCAAGGGATATTTTAGTACATTTTGTTTTTTCTTTTATAAATGAAACTTACAGTTTAATTGAAACAATGTTAGTTGGTACTAAGCTTTCAAAATGAGATGGGATGGAAGATTTATAAAGATGAAGGAAGTGATGAAATAAGAAGTCAGGAAGATTTAAAACTCTGTAAAAAAAAAAGGTCTGGAGAAGTAAAACAGATTAATAACAAAGTGTAGCAGAAGAAGAGGCAGAACCTGGGGGCAGAGTCAAGAGAGGAATCAGCCTGGAGTTGTTATGTTCCCACAAGTGATCTAAGTCTAGTCTTGCTTGAATTTTGTTAACTTATCTAGCACCAATTTAGTACTGATTGTTAATTGCCTAAAATTAATTGTTAATTGTAGATAGGCTTGAGTAGCATGTAAGTCTGGTTAGAACTTAACATTTGATTCTGATTCTTTGTACCTGACACAAAGTGGAGATTTTCGATAGGAAAACAGGACTTATAGATGCAGAGTTAGAAAGAGAATTAGACAACTTGGTTCTACTGGAATTAAGAGTGAAGGAATTTTCTTTGAGATGTAGAGCAATTGCTGAGCCTTCTGATGAACATATTATAGAGACAACTAGCTCTAGCAAACTTTTTCTATTAAGAATTGGAGACTAATGAGGCAGAAAATGATAAATTTTACAGAATATGTTCTAGATTTGCGAGAACTAGAAATATCCAAGAGATATTTTGGTACATTTTGTTAGAAAGAAGGCAAGGGATCAAATTTCCCAGTGGCAATTTAATACAAGATGGTTGTTTTAAAAGAAATTTTAACAGGGTTTTACACAGAAAATTGAATATACTTTTTTGACTGAAAGAGGAAAGTAGAAAAAGATCTCTCCAGACTAAAAAGTATGACTTTTTACTTTTCAACAGTAGATACTTCGATTGAACTATGTTCAAAAGGTAAGAGAATATCTAGAAAGATTTAAAAAATTAAAGGAGATATAAGTGGAGGTATCAAAAGAGGTTTTTCAAAAATCACACAGATGCAATAGGAATTTGAAATGATAATGCTGAATTAGATGCTCAGTTTAATTGACTATTCTAAATTTTTGGCCTGATCATGGATTACAAATATTTTACAAGAAATAAAAATGGAGGAAATGTTCATCAAAACAGAACAAAAATCATTATTATTATTTAAAAAACAAGACATTATTTGCTTTCAAGACATTCTCTGTTTTCATATCAAAAATATATATATAAAACACTTGATTTATAAAACTTAGGATGAAAAGTTTATCTCAGCAGTTGTGTAAGAAAAGAAAAGTTGTTTTATATATTTATCCTCAACTAAAACTAAGACTTGTTTTGACTGATAACCAAGGTAGGTTTTTTTGAGTGGAAATTATTCTAAATGTGATTAAGACTTTGCTATTAGGAATTGGTGCCTTTAATGAGAAGCAAATATTGTTTTATAGATGGTTTATGGAGATATTAATAGGTTTCTTTTTATGAAAAAATGGTATTTGATAGAGGATTGGAATGGAGTGATTTCCCCACAGAGGATAGCACTTGAGATGGACAATTTAGGGTTGGTTGAGGCAGAAAAACGGCATTTCAAGAAAATATATCTATTTTTCAGAATTATGTTGGTTTTTCTCAAGAAAAGATTTGATTTGGATTTCAAAGGACTTGGCCACAAAGGTTTCTGGAGTAGAGATATTATCAAAGACCTTTTACATAAACTTTAGTCATAAACTTTAGCTCATGAAAATATTGTCATCGGACTTGATTTGTTTTAATTTCTTCTTTGTCCCATCACCTTAGTGTCTTTTGTTAATCCATAGGAAAAAAATATCTAGGTCACTCTTCTGGTTTGTCATTTGTAATTCCCCTTTAAATTTTAAAACTTCAGCCAATTTCTTCTATTGGCCCAGTTCAGTGAAACAGCATTTCCTAAATCATTCTCTTGACCTGTCTATTTTCAATACCATCTCTACCTTGTCATATTAAATTTCTTCTACATCTGATATTTGTTGGAGTAACATCTTTTGGACATAACCCATTGATAGAAACAGATATCATTACTGACATTGTTGATAATATGGCCACTATTTTATGATTCCATTCATCAAAAGCTATTTTCAGTATGTTATGTTTTCTACAAACCAAAACAGGAACTATTTCCCACATGAAGCTGAATGTCCTTTATAATTCATTCCATCTCTTCCTACTGGCTATTATGGGCCCTCTTTTCTCTCCCCCCAAATATAGCCAATATAAAAGTCCCACACCCTCTTTTTTTTTTTTAACCACATTTACTTTGGACAGTGAGGAGAGAAAACGAAGAAAAATCTACCCTCACCCAAAGTAGCAAAGCCATCTCTGAAAGCAGCTAGGAAGCAATGGGGCAATGGTCCCAGTGCTTTACAATTGCTTTCCTACAAGAGGGGAAAGAGATCCAAGACATCAGAAGATGTCAAGGTGGATGTTTTCAGCAAGAGGGCATTGCTCATTATGCAGGTGAAGAGAAAAACAACAACAATTCTGTCTTTTCTGCGTTTGCTCTGGAGCCCCAGCCCAGCTGATGGACTTTTGAAGTACATTGCCTCAATGTGCGGAGACTACTGGAATGTGGTGGGGACATGTAAGAGTTGTTATATTCATGCTGGTGGTGGTAGATGGTGGAAGATGGATTTCTGCCTTACCTTTGCTAATCTGAGATTCTTGTAGTCTCTTCAAACATTCATCTTTATATTCAAGCCATTTAGATTTGGTTAGCTCAAAATTTCCTTTGACCTGTAAGTAAAGAAAACATATTTAGCTTCTGACAGGATCCTGTCAATTGCCTGTTAAGTGAAGTTTCTAATACTCACAACCACCTTCAGTTGTCCACTCTGCTATTGTGCAAAGATTTACCCTGCAACCTTTGAACAATGAAGTAAGCAGGACATGTTAATTGCCAGCTGCCAAATTTTTGACACATACTGTAGGCTTTTCATATTCCATTAAATCCTGTGGCAGCTTAGCAAAATGGCAGACTTTTAACATCTGACATGAGGCAGAATGTTACAATATGACAGTCTGAGGCAGCTGTAGTAGAGTGGCTAAGTTTAAATGAGTCAGTGTCCTCAGATTTGGACAGTTCAAACATGCCTCTCTCTCTCTCTCTGCTGTCCAATGTGGTTTGATATGACACATTGTCAATACTGTTGGTCAGGCAGCTCAAAAGATTAAACTTCTGTTGCTCCCTCTGTATTTTCCTCTTATGTCTCTTTGATATACCAGCAATGTCACTTCATCTTAACCTTTCTTCAAGGGACTTGTTGCACACCATCAATGAGAGCTGGGGTGACAAACTTGCTTCTTGTTTTGTTCTGTGGTCAGTTGGATGTTTGTGAGAAGCTCACAAGCAGGACTTGAAAGCACACTTCCTGCCCAGAAAATAGAACTATAGAGCCAAGCAGTCTTTGAAACCAGACAAGATTTCTGATGCTAAGTGGTTGAAAGGCAATCAGTCATGGTGACCACACTGCTTATGACAACCTACCTAGCAGTTCCCTTTGCCCTCATTAGTTGAATTTCACACAGACATGCATCCTGCATTCATGTGATCACTATTTGTGACCTTTTGCAGCCTTCCCCTTTGACTTTCTTTGTAAGAAACTGGCAACGAAGATCGGAAGTGCTGATCACATAACTCTGGGATGCTGCAACATAATAACTGCAAGCCAGTTGCTGAATACCTGAATCGCAATCGTATGGCCATAGGGACACTCTGACAGTCACAGCTATGAGGACTAGTCATTAGTGTCTCTCATTAAGTGCTATTGCAACTATGAGCAGTTGTTGAATGAGTGGATGTTAAATGAGGATTGCCTGTATTGATCAAATTCCAATCTGGTCATCCAGAGAGGGCCTGTTGAAATTTCCCTTCCCTAGTAAAGTCTGCATTGTGAGGCTGAGAAGACAAACCTTTCCTGCAACAGCCCTCACTTTATGGACTTTTCTGTCCCAGAAAGAATGTGCAGCTTGCTGCAGTTTCAGAAGCAGGTTAAAATAGTCTTATTTTCAAATGTGCTTTCAGACCCTGCCAATTGACTCTAGGAGGCCACCTTGAAGTTTAATGATTTGTTTAAATTTTTATTTTGATGTTCTGATTTATTGGTTTATTTATTTAGGCTTTCTTTTTGCTGATGTTGTAAGCCACCTAGAATCCTTTCAGAGAGAAATAGGCTATAATTACTAAAAAACAATAACTAAAATATATTCTACTATTTATATATTTATACAATGTGATAAGATGATTCTGTGGGGAAAAAGCAAACCAGAAATTAGGCAGGGAATCCAATCTAAACCACAATACACTACAGCAAAAATATACAGGTAGTTAAAATATAGACAGCACAAAACATCTTCAATATTACAATGGTTTGTGGCCCTCCGAAGCTCAATCCTTCTCAACAAAATTTTATTTCTTAGCATTTAATTCCTTTTGTTTGGTTTTCTTGGGTATCACATGAGCAGCATTGACACTGAGTTCATATGCAAGATCAGTACTGCAAACTACAGCTAATAGATGTGTGATTGGAGAACTTTAACTTGATCGATCAATCTCAATGTTATATTGTGAATAACCTGTCGGTGCCTATTGGCTTCAAATGGGCTTCCTTGTAGTTGTTTATGGTGGTTTGAAATGGCAAAAGTGCTTCTCTTTTCCAATATCTTGTACAGTTGAAAGTTGTTGAATAAATAATATATTAACAAAGGAAAGACACAAGAATTAATGTATGTTCAAGAGGAGACATTAGAATTAAATTTATTAACATCATACCGAACACTGAACATTTAGATGAAAACCATCAAGCTCAGGAATCCCATCAAATCGTTCTTGGGTATGTAATTTTCCCTTGTAAACTGCTTAATTTAAATGTTACTTTCTCATATCAAGCAAATGTTAAAAGTTGACAAAAATATTCCTAAAAAATCAAACTACTTTTTCAATTGTTTTACTTTTGCTGGAAAATAACAGTTTTGAATGGGTTTTTTAATTGATTATATTGCTATAATTATTATGTATTTACTAATATAGATAGATAGATAGATAGATAGATTATAATTTATATAAGTAAATAAGTGAATAAATTACATTTAAGCACTGTTATAAATTTACATTAAAGGTTAATTGTTTTTTAATGTTTAACTTTTAATTTAAACATCCTATTTAGTTTTTCTTTTCCTGTATTGCATAAAAAGTAAGTATGTATAAAATTCAACAGTAAAGTAACAAATAAGAAACATGTTGGAGATTACACTTGGTAAAACCGACATGAAGTGCTTGGAAGAGATGCTGTGATGGGTCTATAGCTACAAAGATCAAAATAGTGCAAACTCTATGGAAGTGAAAACTTTGAAGAAACAGATAGGAAGAGTATTGGTGCCTTTGAACTTTAAAGTTGGAGAAGACTCCTGAGAATACTATAGACATCCAGGAAAACAAACAAATGGTTCATCAAAAACAATCAACCCACAGTTTCTCACTCAAGCCACAAATAACCAAGCTTAAATTATCCTACTATGGACACATTATATCAGGAGATATAATGAAAAGGCACTAATACTGGGAAAGGAAAAAGGAAAGAGAAAAAGAGGATATCAAGCAGCAAGTTGTTGAATTCAGTTATTCTGGCAATGGATGCCCTCTTGGAAGATCTCAAGGACCAAATTGGAGGCATAGCATCATGGAGTGTAGGATTTGGCACAGACTTGATAGCAGTCATCATATAAAGCATAGGTATAGATAAAATATTGCACATCTATGAAACTCAAATTTCATTGAAATAATTAGGAAAACGCTCCTTAGGGTGGCAATAATAAAAAAAGGTTCAAGAAACACTGAACTAAGGAAATATGAATGCTCTCCTGGGCAGTGCATTGGCATTTCCAGGATGAGAAACTATTATATTTTTAAACCGACTTAAGTCTGAAAAGTAGACATGAAGATTAGTGGATACATAACATACAAACCAAGGCTCTAATTTTAAAACAGAATGAAGCGTAACATCAAATAGATTGATTTGAGGGACCATACTTATTTCTGATACTTCACTGTTTGTGCTGTTGACATGGAAAATGATTAAATCATGGTGTGACATAAATGTCCACTTAATAGAAAGAATGGAAACTGGTTGTTTATGACACAATATATAATCTGTGGTTTGTGACAGTAATGATTTTGCAGATGTGATGCTTGTAGTCAAAACTCCTCCATTTATGTTGTTTGTTGTCTGAGTCTGCCTGCTATAACCTCTGGTTTTAAACAACGGCATATGGATAAATGATCACTACAACCTTTGTCCCACTTCGAGATTCAGAGAAAAGTGTTCTGCATACTTCCTCTATGCCTTGAGTGATTTTCTACATTCTTGATCATGTTTCTCAGTCACCATTCAAGTTTCAAATGTATTCCATGTTTGTCCCTTTTCTCATAAGGAAGGTATTTGAGCCCCCCATATAGTTTTCCAGCTTCATTATATCCAAATGTAGAAGTCTTGCTCTCTCACACTTTTCTCTCTCTCGGGGGCGGGGGGGGGGGAGGCAATGCAGTGTTAGCTATTTGATTTTTATTGCCTTTCCTAATGATCTCCAGCACAGAATTTGCCTTTTTTAACAGTTGCTGCACATTGAGATGAGTCCAAGAGCTTCTTGATTTGTTACAGACATCTCTGATCTCAAGAGCATATATGTATAATAGGTATTTTTTACTCCAGTGTGCATTACTTTAAACTTGAATTGAATTTGCCATTTGACTACTCAACTAAATTCACCCAGTTTAAAGAAACTTTTCTAGAGTACCTCATAATTTTACCTTGTTTTTACTACCTGAATAATTGAGTATCATAAACAGACTTAGCCAGTCCATTGCCTACTACTTAAACTGAGATAATTTATGAATAAAGGATCAACCCAGATTTTTGACAGACTCCACTTCTTCTTTCCCTTTATTGAGAAAACTGGCCATTTACAAGCAGGCCATTGGGGGTCACAAACTGACCATTTTGAGAAGATGTCAAAACCTGCAAGTTGGCAGGAAGATATCAACATTAAAGCCTCTTGTCAACATGGCACTTTTCTGTTAATTAAGCAAGATTTCTCCTTCATCAGATTCTGGATTACACTGCTATTTATTTTAACAGATGGTTGTAGACATTTGTAATGTTATTTAAAGAGTATCATTAAAAGATAATGAATTTAGAATAAAAACCCAATATAACATCAATCCTGCATAAAAATACATGACTCCAAAAATTTAAAGTACCACAAAGCATACTGTACTGCGGGGACAAAAATTAGAAACTTTTGAAGCCTGGAAGAACAGAATAGTTTTGATCTGCCATTAAAAACAGACATGACCATCAATTTGATTTCATACATCATTGGAATTACTTCACAATATCAATATAGGAGCTAGAATTATCCACAGAAATTTGCATCCTATATTAACCAAAAATGAAAGATTAGTTGCTTCTTGACGGAGGCCCAAGTTTTCAAGTCAGCCTTCGGAACAGAAGCCAAAGCTTCTAAGCTGTCTTTAGTGACTGCCCATATAGAAAACCATTCCAGAGAAGAGCCATTTGTCACTTGGCTGAGTTAATGCTCTTGCCATTGTGTCAGTTGTTAGCAACTTGGCCAAAATCCCACATGCTGGCAAGAAATATGAGCAAATGCCTGCCTTTGCTTCAGCAAGACAGAAATCTCTGTTCCTCAACTGCCTGTGAAACTCTTTATGAGAATTACTG